GATCTGGACGCGCTCGACGAGCTCGAGTTGGAGATGGAGGCCGAGGCCTCGCTGACGGCCAGGGCCAAGGAGAGAAACCCCAGGGCGCTCCGCAGGCGCATGGCGGCTCCGCTGTGGATGGGACTTCGGATCCGAACTTCCGGCGGCCCTTTCTGAGCCTAAAAAAGCTGCAGCCAAGCCGCCAGCTTGCACGTCTTCCTCACAGGACGACAGACTTGCGAAGGCGACCCCCCAGCTCATCCTTTCACTCCTGGCAAACCTTCTCTGGAAAGCCCAAGCAGGCTCGAGCTACGGAAGTTTTAAATTTTGCCATGAGCTCCCGCTGACCAATCACCGCCCCTGTGGCCATTGCAGCTGGAGATTCCATGCTGCATTGACTCAATTTTGTCGGCTAATCTGGTCCCTACACACTAAATGCAACCGGACAATCCATCTCCTGGCCGGGCCGGGCTGGAGCTTTCAGAGACTTCCGCATTGATAAGACACTGGGCCCCGATTTCTAAAGCCTCTCCGTCTCAAAACATGTCGAAGGCGAAGCCTCTGTGCGTCTCCGTTTGGAGAACTCCGCGAGGCAAAGAGTGTGAGCCACGCACGGGGGTCGAGCCGACACGATGAAATTACATGAAATTCATGATTCGGCTTCGGTCTTGCGCGATTGAGTTGCACACACATTCGGGCTCACACAAAACTCAGAAGGATAAAAGGGTGCTGCGTGCACCATGCTCAACGAAATTCAGAACCAGGCCGCACGTTGTTGCCGTCCATCTACGCAGGGACCCAGGACAGAAGCGAACGAAACCGGCCGGCTTCAGTGCATCTCTCCTGCGAGGTGCACCCAGAAGCTGCTCAACCGAATGAGACTGACATCCAGAGCCTGTGTGGCACTGTTGCACGAAACCTGCCCAGAAAACGTTCAACCTTCCGCGAGCCTTGTGGTCTGTGGATCTGTCTGATGCTCGTAACTGCCCCACCACAATGTTGTCGGCGTGTTGCGATCGTTTCGTTCATGTTACGTCGCTGCCTTCATCATGCACCGGACGCTCCAGCTGATTTTGCGCGCCGCGAAAACTTCAGGTAGGGAAGGCAGGGCGGAGGATGCACGTGTTGCCGGGGGGTGGTGCAGGTAGTGTGCCTGTGCTCCAATACCATCCCGGACATCATCCCGACATGTAAATATAGCACGGTCGCCCGATTTGTAGTTCAAACAAGTTTTGCGAAAGGCTCCAGTAAAGAAAGCCATGCGTGGGGTGGGTTTCGTGAAACTGGTCTGCTGCATGAATCTGTCCCACCCCACACTCCGACAAGCTTCCAACCTCTTTGCCCATGGCCCATCCCGGTCGCTCCCCTGCTGGGAGCTTGAAACGCAAGCTTCGACTCGTGCCATAACACTTGGGCCTTTCAGCAGGCGGCCGCAGCGGTGCAGTACTCCATCAGGACAGGGCCAAGCTTCGCATCCCCGTAGCACTGGCGGGCACAAGCCTCCAGGAAGCTCAGACTGGGCAGGGCCGCAGGGCTAGTGCTCGACCATGAAAAAGCTGATTGGACTCTGATTAGACCGTTCATGAATTGATAACCACGAGTAGAGCTTGCGTGGGCCTGTCACTCGATGATGCGGGGAAGACACTCGGTAAGTTTACGGGGCACAACTTCAGCGGCCTCTACGTCGCCCTGCAAGCTCAGACCTCTGCAAATCTTCTGGCAATAATCCACTTCGGTTCCTTGCAGAGGAGAAGAACGAGGAACGAAGGTGTTGCGATTGGGATTCCACATGTCGACATGTTGCGATTTGTTCGATTTGCTTTAACGGCAGCTTCAGGCTCGGCATTTGCAATCGTCAAAGCCTTCCTCCTCTCCGTCCCTTCCTGGGCTTGGCAGCTTCTGCGTCTGCAAGAGGCTCGCCGTCTCCGCTTCCAGCCAAGCGTAATGGTTGCAGAAACCACATCGGCAGTAGGTCCTTGCCGTTGCTGTCATGTCACCTTTTCGTGCTTGACACGCGGTGATGCAATCGTCCCCAGGCTTCCCTACTGCTTCGCAGATGGCTGGGCACCACGACCTGGGATGTCGGATGAAGGGCATACAATTTTGCACCAGGGATCTGCGGCTTCAAACACCTAAAAACTCTGCTCGAGAACAGCGGCACAAAGTCCGAACACACGGTGGTCGTGGAGGTCGAGGTGGTTGTGGTGGTTGTGGTGGTGGTGGTTGTAGTGGTCGTGGCGGCAACAGCGGAAGCAGAAGGGCTTTGCCCGAAGCTCCCGTCAGCACAGTCTGCGCACGCATCATATACTTTGGAGATCCAAGAATATGTCTCATAGCATCGGCTGTTGCACTTCTTGCAATTGACGCCATCGCAATGAAACCCTTCGTGACACAGTTCATCACAGAACTCTCCGTCCATGTACTCGAGGCCTGGGTGGAGGTCTTCATCGGTTCGTTCTTTGTACAAACGGTTTAGTATTCTGGCTTGGGTACTTCGGAGGGTTTTCTTGGCGAACGCTTTCGGAAACTATGCCCCTGTTTCATGGTTCTGGGTTTTGGCGGATGTCTGACAGCAAGGGAGCGCGGCTCCAAGGTTGCAGAACAGCTGCTTCGGGTTGCTATGGCAAACATTGTAGGATCGCCGAGAAAAGGCAAACACGAGTCCGCGCTCAATAACAAGGGTAGTATTGTCGGGCGAGAGTTGGGTCTTGAGAGGCGGGATTGCACAGTCAAGGAGCCAATGTCACAGAAGGAATCAAAAACATCCCAAAGGTCATCAATATCTCTGTGGCAAAAATCTTCACAGGAGCTTTGCGGATAAACATAGTAGTCCACATCACAGAAGAAGTCGCAGATCCTTGGTGCTTCACCACACGCGTGCACACACGCAAACACACACATGTAGATTCCGGGCGAAGCCGGTTGTCGTCCATTTTCTGAAGTCCATTTTTCTGATCATTTACTCTTCTTGCCTAGAAACTGAACATTTACTGGATGGGAGCCTGTAGAGCTTGAGCAAAGATTGAGATGATCAAGTTTTGATGCAATACAAGACTTTCAGAATTTAAAAGAACCTCAAGGCCATAAGTATATACAGCGAGTGAAACATTGGCAGGTCCAGAGCTATGCGTCCATAGATCCTTCCACCTATTCCGCTAGCTTCGTTGGCTGGCATCACGGAATAAGCTGCCAGCCCCTGCTCTCTTGATCTGCTTTCATCCTTTATCGGTAACGACTTCCAACTCAGAACCCTTTGAAACAGGAGTTCCACACACACACGAGAAATTCTACGGCGAACATGCGGACTCAAGTCGCAGACTACCCTCATAATATAAGACACCCAAGCTCCAACTTAAGCTGTCAAAGGTCTTGAGTTTGCCACATTCCTCCAAACTCCAGTCTGCAAGCCTCTGCAGCTCGTCTGCAGTGGACAGCTGCCAGAGGAATATAACAGCCAGAGAAGTTCGGAAGGCCATCTCGGTTCGGTTATCCTACGAAGCTCCTATGGGACGGAGCCGAATGTGCCGAAAGCAGCAACCGCATCAAATGCCTCAACACTGCCTCAAACCTCGAATCTTGGACTTTTGTGTTCAAGAGCGGTAGTACAGCACCTACTCCCGCTGTTTCACCGGATCATGATGGACCAACTGTCGAATAGAGAACTGCCGAGCGACAACGGACACTCTCTTTTAAACCGCGTGGTCCACCAAGCACACAATCACGGACACATGCTTTTCGTTTGTTGCTCGCTACCTCTGGTGGCCCAGCAAACGCTGCTGCTGAAGCTGTGATGGTGTCGCGGCCCCAGCATTGTTGTCTGACCTCGGCACGCTGTGTCGATTGGGCCGTGCAGTAGTGACACGAGGCAACCCTGCTTTTTGTTGGAAGCTGCAACGGCAGGGGAGTCAACGATAGCGTGCCAAACACCACAGTCATCGTGTCGTGCAGATTGGAAAAGCAGAAACGTGCGGGCTCACGCCTGCAATGGAAAACACTGTTCAAAATGCTACAACTTGGATCACGGGAGCCCAGCAAAGGGGCTACCGGCGACACAGTGACACATCACGCACAGAATTGCCAGGAAGCACTCACGGGACGGGTTCATTCCGGATTTCCTTGCAAACCTTCATGCAGCGTGAAGCTGGGCGCACACCCCGTGCACCTGCTCAAGATCTTCCGATCCCTTGCCGCTTGCCTGGTGATCGAAGTACACTTTCAGCCACTCTACAACGCTGTCGCTCATCTTCACCTCCGGTTCCACAACCATGATTTTGTCAGATCAGCAAAGCACAGCGCCATGAAGCCACCTCCGAGTTGGTGGAGTTGTCGTCGTTCCAGCACCGGAACATGATTCCACCATTCGGCTCCAGAATCATCTCGAACCGCAGGTTCCCTGTCAACTCGTCGACATCTCCACATGTGCCAGACAGATGAGGAAACAGATCCAGCCGAAGGCTCCACCAGAATGGAAACCCTTCATCAAGTTTCCATGGAGCTCATGGTTCTCGAAGTGCATGGGGGGTTCCTTGCTTGGGCCGATTGATTCCCTCTCTTCTGACACTCACCAAATTGCAGCCGGCTCACATGACCGGCCAGGTTCTTGAAGGCACGGTGCACCAAGGGCATGCTTCGGAAAAGCCGCGCCTCTTCCATGCTACCTGGAAGAGGCGTGTGCAAGACGAGACCTTATGCAAAGGGCAAAGAGCCGTGCCACCGTGCCTGCATACTTCTCGGCGAGGAAACGCAGCTTCAGCTGACCGGCAGCTTCGAAGAGAGGAGAAGGCTCGAAGTCTTCCTGTGAGGACACACACGGGAAGATGCCGCGACGCTCGTGTGTCACTTCGTGTCATCCCGTCCTCTGCCAGGCATTTGGCCAATGCGGCCTGCAAAGCCGCCTCGTTGGGCGCGCAGCCGAAGTTCGCCACGAAGCCGGCGATCTTGGCGGAACGAGGCCGCCCGCCTCGCAAGTGGCAGACATGCTTCCTCTTCTGATCTCCTGTGCTTTTGCCCGTTCTGCCTGGAAGGATGTCGAAGATGACGACTTCCTCTCCATGCTTCGGCAACGCACTTTGCCGTCACCCTATTTGGCCCCAGTCCTCTGAGCCGGTGTCCCACTCCAAACCAAGGATGACCGCGTCCCAGTCGTGGGGGCCTCGCTTCCCAAGAATTTCTGATATCGGATTCTCTCCCACCCGGCCCTGCCTAGCTGGTCCAGGAATCCGGGCATCTCCTGCACAACTTCCGCTACTTCTGGCATTGCTCGTGGGGCGTCGCAGAAGAGCCTGTCGAAGGCGATCCATTTGAAAGAACTCCCGGTCCGTCACAAAGACCGACTTCGAGGAAAGACCTGATCAGGCAGTCCCGAAGTCCCGAGTCCGAAGGGTCCCCTGAATTTCGTAGACCCTGCAGACAAGGTTCCCATCTCCCCCACTGCAGCCCTCATAGCGGGGATTCCCCGCACGGCCAGGCACGGGACCTGACGAAGCTTCACACTCACACGAACCTGCTGGCGGCAGCCTGCTCTCAAAAACTGATCCTTTCTATCCGAGTTGCCATGCATTCATATGCGTAGCTCAGTGTGGAAAGCTCAAGCCGCTTATCTGACACACTGCTGAAAGCGATCACCTGCAGGGGGAGCAGGCGACACCAGCAAGAGAAGGTATCTTCCATTCTTCCATCCCAGCCTGAGGTGCTCCCAGGTACTGAGTTTGAGCTGAGAAGCGCGCTTGCGACACGAGTCCTCGAAAGCACAACGAACGCAACTCCTCAAAGAACTACAAGAAACGAACGTCTGTGCTGCACCTAGACTCAGACCGACTGTCAGAATTGTCTGTTGTGTTTTCTGCTTCCACGGGTCCGTCTCGGAAGCCCATCTGCACCACCCGAGGCCCATCTGGGCCGGGCGTTGCCATCGCTGGCACGTGACCGCGGTCGTAGAGATCCATGAGACGCCGGAAGCATTCCGGAGAGCCTTTGGCCACGCCAACTACGCCTCCGTTGCCCTCGATGTAATCTATCTCATCTGTGGTTGCCTCTAGGAAGAAGTGGTCCTGCCAGGGCTGCCAGCTGCTGTCATGTGCCATTGCTTTCTGAAGCAAATATCAAAACTCGTAGTCGGAAAGGGGGGGTTCCCTCCAGCAATGCCCAGAATGACCCTCTCGTCTTGGGATCACGTGATTACATTCTCCCAGGGTTTCAACGGAACGCCCGGTGCGGCCCAGCAAGGGATTGCCTACTCCATCTAGGTTGGACAGCTGTCGTGGCGCATTCCTCTCTGATTCTTTACTGGACAGAAGCCGATTCTGGTTCAGGATGCAATCTTGTCTGGGGTCGGCTGTTTGTGCGTCAGAAAACCTGACATGCTGGACCAGTTTTGTGTGCTAGGAGGCCAAATGACGATGTAGACCCAGACCAGCGGGTTTTGGCTGCGGCCGCTCTCGGAACTGGCCTGACAATGCCCGACAACAAGAAGACCTGCCCTCTCATCTGTCTCCCTCCGCCAAGGCACGTGAAGGATGAGTCTAGCTAGCACACAAGATCATGTGTAGTCATAGGTCCCGGCTTCGTGTTCCGTCAAACAGTTCTCAAATGCCTTCTGTTCGAGAACAGTGAAGACCAGATTCGTCTAAGCCAGAATTACAGAGCCTTCACACATGCATTTGCGGGTGGGCTGGCTCGAAACCCATTTCGGGTCGGATGGAACAGATCGTCTTGATTTGTTTCAAGCGAAGACTTCAGGCCTGGAAAATAGCCGGACCTGGAGCCATCTCGCCAATGAATACATTACATGGGTTCTTTCGTGCTGGATGTTGGACAAAAACATCACCATGCAAGGACAGAATGGGACCATCCTACCAAGCCTTGTCACCTTCCGCCACCCTGTTGGCAGTGTCTGCACACTTGTCAAGTCTGAGTAAAAAACACCTATGAAATTTCAAGCACGGGCCTGAACATGACGGAAATGCACGCTCAAGAAGTTTTGGGTCGCACGTGCACAAACAGCTGGACGCCTGGGACGGTTGCAGCACCCCTTTCCGCCCCTTCCTGCATGCAAGGCCCCTCCAGGTAAGAAGCATGTCCACCTAACATGTCACATCATGACACCTGACCCGTACAAGCAGCAACTGAAACGAACTAGAAGGCCACGTTTGAGCATTCGTGGCTGGATCGTTGCCGACCGGCTTCACCTTGCCCTATCCGCATGCCACGCAGTCCTCACTGAAGCCAGGCTGATGCAACGTGGAGAGCGGAACGTAGAAGCCGCCTTCCTGTGCAACACTGAGATAAAGTCACACAGTTGGAACTTTTCTTCGGGTCACCACCTGCCTCGAATAGCACCTCCATCATGAGCGAAGTGACTGCATGGTCGTCCCAGGGCTCCACATAAAGGTTCGCACAGAACCTGCAAACGATCCCTGGAAGATCCCCGCACGGGGAAGCCGACGTCTGAAATGTCTGAACACTGAACTTCGCTTGGCCAAAGCACCATTTTCGACCTTGAAGCTGTTCCTTCGTCCAAGTCCTCCCATCACAGAGCTGCCAAGAATGGAGCAACCCATCTTCATGTGCCGTCCTGTACTTGAAGCCGGGATGGCTCTGGCAGAACGAGTCGTACCAGCTCTGCCTCCATCTCTGCGGGTCGTTGTGTGAGTCCAGGCCTGCCGGTATCACCTCGCAACAAAAATGCCGAAGCCCCCCATCTCTGCAGAACTCCGATTTCTGCCGGCCTGGTGGATGACTTGCGGTATCGAAGCTCGCTGCGACTTGAACCTCGGGCGGCTACTGTCAAGAATGCTTTCGTCGCGTGCTGTGCTGTGCGACTTCTGCAACTCCCCAGGGATGCAACACCTTTCCTGCCCAGGGCCTAGATAGGGACCTCACAGCTCAGGTGGCGGCTTGGCTTCCAGTTCCTCGATGCTCGGAAGCTCTTTGAAGGCCCCAAGCGGCCAGGCCTGCAGACCGAGAAGGAACAGAACGCAGAGACGGTCTGGCCGGTCTGGCCAGGCGAGATCTTGCGTTCTCTGGCATGCCACGGGCAAGTCTGCGCGAGCCCTCAAAACTCAAAGCTGTGGGGCATCACGGGCATCACGCCTTCTTGGAGTGAAAGGGGCACTGGCGGGCCTGGCTGCAGCTGTGCTAAAGGTCGATGTCACTCTGTGCAGTCCTGAGTTCAGCATTCAGCCGAATGCCGCACCTTCTTGCAGCGGTTCTTGGACTTCACATAACCTGCAGTGCGTGGTCAACATGCCAAGCCCCATGCTTGGTTGGTGCAGTGCTGGACCCTCCAGGCCGGAGCAGGTGTACCCGAACTGGAACCTCGGGCATCGAACGACAGCGCAGCAAACGCAACAGTGCTTCGTCACAAAGCGGACTGCTGAGACTTTGAGATGGAGAGTGTCTCTCAGTTGTGTTCATCCTTGCAAGCCCAAGCCACATGAGACATTTTGGAAACGCCGAGAAGTTGATGGCATCAGGGTTGGGAACAAAATGGAAAGCCTCGGAAGTCCCAGCCACCACAGAGCTTTCCTACACGTGGCTTAATGCGGGGAGCCGGATACAGCCATTCCTGTGGTGCAAGAGAGATCGGCATGCCACTGTCCACCAAGCACTTGGTGTACATCACGGGCCCCGTAACAGCAAAGACCTGCAGGGCTACACAGAAGTGGATCCTTCCCGTGTGTCACCAGGGCCTCAATGTGGTTGCGCTTCTGGTGGTACGTCTGCTTTAGGAAGAGAATGAGCATCAAGGTCAGCGGATGATGAGGCGTGCACGCAATCCTGGGATTTGCACCGGGCACAGTGGCAGGAAAGAGACGACCAAGCCGGGATGCACAGAGTTGCCCAGGATGGAGTAAGGCTTGTCTTTGGTGTCGGGTTCGTAGGCGATGACCTCAAAAAGGCAGACGTGTGTCCGGTCTGCGCCGTCCGGTCTGAGCCGTAAACTGCTCAGAAGGTACTCTAGGGCGACTGCCCAGCCGGTCTCCTTACCGAGCTCAAGGATGCGGTCCAGGCTTTTCCTCGTCCAAAACAGATCTCTCATGCAAAACGCGCAGCATTGCTCTGCTTTGCATCTCGGCGGCTGCTCTACGGAGATCATGTCCTCAGATACTGAACGCAGTTCACACAGGTGCACAGGACAGGAGCCACTTCGGTCCGAGATGCCGCATCCACGTAGAGACCTCCGTGGTGCCAAAGGAACTCCAAGCGAAGGATGTCGGCCTTGCACTGCCACATCTTCTCCTCAGAGATTGAAGGCAAGGAAGTTCGACTGAAACTTACTGGAAGACAAGGACCTGATGGTAAATCTGGTCGTTGATCATCGGCAGCTTGGCCACCTTCGGCTTCGCTGCTGGAGCAAGGCCATCCGACTTTTCACAGACTTGGCAACTGGATGAGTCGAACGCGCGACAAAAATCATGGGAGATGTGGAGACGCGCGGTGAATTGGGGCAAGCTTGGCCGAGATTGGACAAAATTCATCCATCCAGATTCAAGGCCTTAGAGCAAACTTTGTCGAAGCACACACTATTTTTCGCAAGTGCAGGATCCGGGCTGTTTCCCTACCCCTACCCATGAGACTCTATTTCTGGCAACTGCTGAGACACGGCTATACAAAGGAATGCTGATGATTGCGAGGAATGCGCTTGTCTGATGTGGGAGGCACTCGGTGTACCATGAAAAGAGTGTTCGATATGCGAATGGATGGTGGCTCGTCAGAAAGGAGGTGATCTAATCATTGAGAGGTTTCCACTAAACAGGACAACTCGGCGAAAACGGAAGGGTAGCTCCGCGAGGTACTGGTTACAGCATTGAGCATTGGAGGGGTCGAGGACTCTGTGACAAGAAAATTTGATCTGAAAGGTGTGGTGGAGATTTTATAGTGCACAGTGCTCAGTTGGTCAGCTGAGCAAGCGTAAACAAAACACTGTCCTCTGCACACGTGAGAACAGACCGAACAACAGAACCGCACACCAAACTAAAAGCTTCCAATTGGGGGAAGTAAACCATGCTTCAGGAGAGGTCAGAGTTTCTTGGAGGCTTCCATGGTTCGGGATACTCTGGTAGAAACAGTCTTGTGGTTATTATATTTCGCGTCAAGGAAGACTCCTAGGCCTAGATACTTAACAACCTCAGCCAAAGGAACATGGATATCCTCTGCTGTCTCCAATATGAGATAAGCACTATCAAATGGCACACGGCTGTTGGAATTCAAGCTAACATGTTCGCAACTATCATAATTAAGCTGGAGACCACGTTGTGCACCATGCTTGTTTGTGTATGAACTGGGGCAATGATTGCACATGCATACTAGAGTTAGAAAGGAGTACTGTGTCGTCGGCGTATTCCAAGTCCCATAGGAGACCCAAGGCGTAAAGCGCTTGAAAAGTGAGAATGGGGAGAGAAGACATCCGTGGCGCAGTTCGCCGGTTTGACACGATTTGGCGAAAATATGTCTGCTGTCGGGAATTGAAAGCTGCTCGGAGAGCGGGCGGGACTCCCATATACACAAGGAAAGAACGAAATTTGCTGAGAAAGTGACAGAGTCAAAGGCCTTAGCCCAATCCAAAAAGATCGTGTGGAAAGGATTCGGTTTGGCGATCGTGCGCCTAGAAAGACGACGAAGAATGCGAACGGTTGGGTACCAGAACGATGAGAGCGACAACCTAACTGGATGTGGTAGTCAAAATGATGGGCCTATTTGTTTGTAGGAGAGAGGCATAGCTTCGTACAACGTGTTTGTGAGAGAAATTGGTCGGTAATTGTTCTGCGGCTTTGTATCCCTTTGGTAGTTCTTAACTAACATGACGACTACGGAGCACAACCAGCTAGAAGGAGCCGCTCCAGTAGCGAGACAATGCTTGTAACTGATTGTAGTGATCAAGAAGATTTCGCCAAAAGACCTATGGGGCACCTATGAGCTCTGTGGGGATGTTATCACGTTGCCCGGCGCCGAGGGCACAGAGGACCCTGTGATAAGTTTTTTTGACGGTTGGTGAACGACGAACATCGCCGTGCAAAGCGCACGTGGTGCGCCATTGCTCTCTTGCGGAGCCATGAGTCCTCCTGTTGAAAATGCTGTAAAATGAACTGCTTTTAAACTTACCGGACGAGCTTGTCGATGCGATTGCGGGTGCGCTTGACCTCTGTTTCGGTGGTGAGATCAGCTTGATTTTGAAAGGCGGCAAGGTAGAGGCAGAGATCCAAGGCTTTTTCCGGAGCAGTAACCAATCTGTGCGCGGGCAGAGAGAGCAGCTGTGCGGGAGCTGAAGAACCTGCCCAGTGAACCATGTTGAGTAACTCCTTGTTTTTGTAAGGAGTCTGCCAGCTCATGTCCTATCATACATGAGTGGCCGGCACGTTGTTAAGAATGACACGGTGCAGAGTTCGCTGGGCTGCGAGGTACGGCTGAACGGGAAGAACAAGCTTGTGGTGTGTAGTAGGAAGCGCGTCACCTTCAAAAAACCGAAGTGCGTATTTTGAGTCTGTGCAAACGGTGATAGAGAAAAGAGAAGGGAGGTTAGCATAATATAAACGGTTGCCAAAGAGCTCTATGAGGGCCTTGAGTTCTCCTGTGTTTTGGGAGCCCAAGACTTCAGGGAGAACATGTGTCGGTGGAGGAAGAACGGGGCCGAAGGAGAGCTCCTACTGAGTATCCTGACAACCGCAACTGCTCGGTTGTCGGGGAATATGACACCTTGATTGGGGCAGGGCCGCCTGTGTCGATGACATAGATTTGCGGGGGTCCGGGATGCCAGGAGGAGTTGGAAGTTGATGAGTAAGCGAAAGGAGAGGATCCTCGAGGAACTGATAAAAGTCTTTCGTACATGAACGTTCTGGATACTGTAAAGGGAGAACATCGGGGGCGGCAACGAGAGGGTCCTGACAGGTCATTTCTTTATATGTGATCCAACGTGATAGAGAAGGGGCGACTTGGGGAGGAGGGACTGGGACGAAAGCTAGAAGCGTCAACAACCGAGGCCTTTCCAGCGCAGCCAAGCATGCATATACGCCCATGTATATGAGGCCTAGAAGCCAATGGCTTTAGGTCGGGCGCCCAACATAGAACAAGTAGGCGACGCGCAAACATCATGAGTGCAAGCATCATAAGCATCGTTGGGAATATCGTGGGTCCCTCTCGGAGCCAGCAAGCGCACATCGCGAACATCATTGGGGGCATCTTGGAGGGTGGAGTTTTATGTCGGTCCCTTTTTTTTTTGGTCCTTTGTCTGTTTGGCCCTCACGTCCTATTGTTTACACACGATGCCGGCTGAATGTGTCGCCCCGCTGGGGTGCCGCGTCCCATTTTCCGCACAAGATG